ATCACGATGTAATATTACCACGAAACATGGATCATGGTCAAATAGTAATAGGTTCTCGTTTCGTCTTCATCTGATTAATTTCCTTCACTTGTTTAAAATCTTGAGCGTTTCGATGCAAATGATAACTTCAGTGTTTGATAAACACTGGTCCGTATGTGATTAATCGTACTTATCAGCTGATCACAAAATGATGTACGAAGTAGTATTTTTTTACAGGTCGTTTGTTTGATTTTATACCCGAGTTTGAGAGCAAGTTATGTTTGCACCCGCCATCACCTTCATTACCGAACTCAAAAATGGCTTATCCTGTTCCTAATATTAAATTAGAGGTACTGGAAGTAATTGTATTTTAAGAAGGAATTTAAGAAAACCCTAAATTAGCGGCACAGAATAATTTTAATCATCTTGAGCAACTTCCAGAAAATCAGACCGGAATCAATGTACAATGTGAAACTTGAAGATGCTAAAGAGAAAAACAGAATGTCGGAATATACGTGGGTTCCAACAACTGACAAAGTATTAGCTGAGAAATACTTCAATGCTCTTCCAGAAAGCGAACGTCCTATTGCTGACAGTGAAGGTGCCCTAGATCGGCGTCACAAATTGCAGCATCAGGTTTGAAGATATTAGAATATAGTTCTCATTCGTCCATTTTTTTTGTGGGCAACCTTATATGTTTGTCCATCTTTTTTTGAACCATAGTAGAGTCATTTAGTCGAAATTCCATTCAGAAAAGGGGTTTCACTCTTTTTCTTTATCATTCGTATCAATAATCTCACCTTTTTACGAACGGTTTAAAATTCCACATCTTTATCTTTTTTTTTTTTGTAGAGCAAAATCAGAATTAAAAACAGATCCACGTAATACGTTCAAACCCATGTCTTCTGACTTAACCGTTTCGTGTACTTTTATTTTCTTATACGAATCTTCCTGTTCAGTTACCGCATCATGATTCTGATGCGTCTGCCGCGAAATCTCTAAAGAGTGAATTGGATAGAAAGGAGCACGCGAAGTATGTAAATACCGTGAAGGAAAGGGTTCGTTACATTGTTCATTCTAATTCTGATGTCTATAATGCGATGTTTTGAGTGTGTAATCAGCGCTTCATCAAGGTAATTCTGTACTAATTGATAAGATACTGTTAGTAAACCTTATATTTATTTTCCTTCTTTCATTTTCGTTCAAATTAAAACGGACGATAGTTGATAATTAAAATGTTTTGAGAAGTTTAGATTGTTGGTGTGGGTAAGTTGATTGAGTTCTCTGAAACGAATACGGTACTTGAAGCCTGGAAGACAACGACATCTGGATCGCATAGTGTTGGGAACATCGGCTTCCAAAACAATTATGGGGTTAGCTAGAACTTTCCCTGTCGCATTCATTCTGTATTTCAAAGATTATTTGCATATTTAATCTCACTTATAAATGTCTCTGATTTGAAAATATCTCCAGCTTTGTTTGAAAAACTGATAAAACCAGCGGGGAAGTATTTTATTTACCATCAATTGTTTACTAAGGGTTTTTTCATATCAAACAGTAGCTGAAAATCTTAAATTTTAGGAGTGTCAGTTTTGCCATAAGAATTTGCAAATTGGAGAGGTCGCGGTTGTGACAGATCACGGAGCACCAGATGTTAGTCTTTTTTAATCCTTCCCACTAATCTTTTTTAATCCTTAATTAATATCAGTTTTTCGGAAGCACTTACTGTATGGTTCCAGAATATTAAATTTTTAGGAAATGTGGCATGTCAACTGTTTCAAGTGCCATATTTGCAATCAAAGACTTGTAGACCTTCTCTATTTTTATAAGAATGGTGTTTATTATTGCGGCCGCCACTTCGGCGATTCTGTTTATCCAAGATGCTCGGGTTGTGATGAGGCTAGTTTTTTTTTTTTGGAAATTTCGATGTAAAAGTTCGCACCAATCAAACTTGTCTTTCAAACATATATACCCAGGAGTGAATAATGGGGACTTTTGACTGTCGATAGCCGAAGTCATACATCTATTAAATGGATTGCTTTAAGACTAAATATTAAATGAAATCCTGTGATGGCTGGCATTGTCTATCCCTTAAAACTCAGTAATAGCCGCATTTATTGGCATTCCTGGCTTATCCGGAAAGCATGGTTCCATGCATGATTGAATATTCTTGTTGATAGGAATCCTCAACTTTCTTACATGCCTTCCCTCATGAAGGTTTTTTAGTTATCAGTAATTGCAGGTGAAGCTTTTTTCAGCTTATTTTCTCGAAAGAATATACTTTTGCTGAAGACAAAAGTTGGCACTTGGATCATTTTTGCTGTTTTGGATGCGACATGCAACTCGGTGGCCATCGTTATATGATGAAAGATGAGCAGCCTTACTGTTTCAATTGCTATATGGAAAGATATGCGAAGGTTGGCTTTGAAATGTTATTTTAAGCTTCGTTAAGGGGCGTTTCCATCTTGATACATTCAGAAAAAGTTTTGTTTACATCTGGTGGTGGGTAATCCCACAGACAAAAGAATCAGAAATTTGTCTCCTTATTTACTTATAAACTTACATTTCAGACTTGCCGCTTTTGTTTCATTAAAATAGCTCCTGATCAGCAGCGGATTTCATTCAAAGACTTACATTGGCATGCTGGAGACAATTGTTTCCGGTGAGTTATTTTTTTCTGGATTTTTCAGACACCCAGTCACAACTGAATAATAAGACAAGTTTCTATATACTGCATGTAGCAGTGCTGAGATATGCCCTTTGGTAATATTTTTTTGCAACTATTTTCAGATGCAGATACTGCAATAAGGTATTGCTGAATCAGAGGTTCATCGTGAAAAATGAGGAAGTTTTTTGTAGTTCGGAATGCAAAAGAAATTTCGCAGCTTAAATGTTCGTATTATGAAGATAAGAACACTACATTCATATCATTGTCAGTAGCTGCTGGGCTTCCTATTGTTCTCGGAATTGTCGTCTTTGTTTTCTTCTCTCTCTCCTGATATGTCACCATTACACATCAGTTTTCTAATTTCAGTTATGAGCTTGTTTCAGTTTATGCTTTATTATCAGTAACATGAAACGACACTTATTTCCGGTTGATTTTTGTTTCACATTTTATTTATGTGGCTAATTCATTAAGAATGTTAACAAATGTTTAATCAGCAAATCATTATAACAGTGATAAAATTGAACAAACACATTCAGCTATTTCTTTAATCGGAGACTGTTCT